AGGTTGTTTTTTGAGTCCCAGGCTTGGTTGACTCTTGCTGGGTGATGATGTAATGAAAGGGGTTTGGGCAATTCCTATTATGACTCTGTCTGAAGGAGGTAGATCTTTGTTATGTAGAATAGATTGACCCAGGTCTTAATGGCCCATTGACAAAAGTTTTTTTGGGGGGGCTGAGTTTCTGCCTCCCTTTTAGGGGAAATATTCTGCCCTTTTAATATTTCCTAAAATATCTCATTTTCGTAGGAGACGGGCGGGTGCTAACTTCCTACAGAATAAAATCTGGAATAAACATACAGTTGCTATCATTCAGATGCTGTATCACTCTATCTAAAAGTCAGATGCAATTATCACAGTCTGCTGACTGATTTAATGCCAATCCAGAAGTAGTAGTACAAAATTAAATATTAGCTTTTCAGGATACAGAATTAATATAATTCTGAACAGCAATTTTAATTCTATAGTAATTTCTCTCAATTCTCATTCATTAAGTTTAAACCTCCTAAGGTAGCCAATAAAATGCTTTCAGTATCATCTATTCTATATAAATGAAGTAGTTCTAGTAACTTGATTTCAAGGGATGGCGGAAAGGTTTTAGGTGTCTTGCTGTATAGAGTAATCATTGTAATAATCAGTTATCAAAAAAGAAAAAAACATGGTCCTTGCTAAGTATATGTGTGTGTGTGTGTGTGTGTGTGAGAGAGAGAGAGAGAGAGAGAGAGAGAGAGAGATCTCATAAGCCCAAATTGAACGTAATTAGTCAGAGCCAATGCCATTTCAACACTAGAGTTACCTCATATTGACCACCCATTTCTATCATACTACAGCTTCAGGAGCAAACATATACAGCCACAATCCTTAGTTCTGCTTTCTACATCTAGTTGAATAACTTGATTTTGAAAGATATCAATTGTTTCAGAACAGAGCTTTTGCAAATTCTTGCATTCGGCACAGTAGTGTTTGCTATTTCAACAACACCCGCAGAAGACACTTGGCATGGATTGACACCTAAAGGCAAGATTTCATCTTTAGTTTCCAGTAGCCATCACTTAAAGCCCAAGTGGCATGGGGGGAAAAAACACACACACACACACCAAAGAAACCCACAAGAAATATTTATGAAACCAAAAGATGGAAAATGAACGAAAAACAAGCAAAGGAATGCAGCCAATTTATTTTCCATCTAAAGGTTCAAAGAAGAAAAAAGGAGGAAGATTCAGGAATAGCTTGCAGAAAACACAACGTACTTTCAATGATGTGAAGTCAGTGGTGGGATTCAGCCGGTTCTCTCCGGATTGCGCGAACTGGTAGCGGCGACTGTGGGAGGCTCCACCCACCTGCCCGGATGTAATGCATGACTAGTGCGGATGCACCAAAGGCCGTGCGCATGCGCAGAGGTGGCGCGTGCACTCACATTTGCGAACCGGTAGGGAAGGTAAGTGAATCCTACCTCTGTATGAAGTGTAATAATAAAATGAGGAAGGAAAAATAAATATTCTATAGTTTGACCTGTTCTGATAACATTTCTATTTCTTCTTTCAGTGATTTCTTTTATTTATTTATTTATTTATATATAATAAATATATTTATACATCACAGGCCATCTCACTCATACAGCAACATTCATGCACCTAATTTAATATAAAGGTTATGTTGATAAGCAAAGACAATTGATTGAAATATACTGTTTCATAGTCTACTTGATGGCAATAGAGTCCGTTTGTTAAGTATGTATTATATATCCAAACCCACTCTTGTATTTTAAATATGAAGTTAATCTTTCGGTGTTTGTTGTGATAAAATGTTGTGATCATAATATGGATATGTTGTTGTTATGCATATGTAACTTCTCTTGTGGCTCTGCTGCACTAGCATTTGCACCTAATAATTTCACAAAGGTCTGGCATTCCAGCAAAGCCAAAGATTAAATAATCCTAGGCTTTCTACTGAAAAAGGCAGAGAACAAGGAAGATTTCCCTTGGACAATGTTCAGAATCAGAATAATTTTATAGGGTGGAAGACAGCTCCCCCTACCCAACCCACATCCTCCATGATCAGCATAAAAAAAAAGGGGGGATTTCTGCCATTTATATCTGCCATGATGCTCTGACGTGAACTAAGAGGTCATGCAAGGACACTTTATAAAAATAAAATTGGCATTTAGCTGGTGTCACTGCCACAGCCAGGGTTTACAGAGGAGAGCTTCTGACACACTGATTTATGTATCTTTCAAATCTATATCCTGCCGGATTGCCAACAGTTCTTCTATATACATTATAGCTGCCCACATTAGGGAAATAAACACATAAGTGAGAGTACATTTTTTAAAAATGCCAGTCTAAGACTGAACTAAGCTCCATGCCTCCTCAGCCATAAAGCTATGGTTTAAATAACTACCATAGGTGCTGGTCATTACTTTTTTCCAACCTGATCTCCCTCACAGAAATATTGTAAAGTGGAAAATAATAAATTAAAGAATTTAAAGAATGGGCAGCATTCATTGAAACACTATTTTCTCACTTAATTCTGCATATCGCAGATCTTTTAATATGATTAATGCAGCCTGGGGGATGCTCCCTGCCTGTTAAAAAGGAATATATACACAACGACCCCTTAAGGAAGGAAAAGAAGCCAAATCATTTTTAGCATTGTAATAATTCTCACACTCAGTTTAATAGCAACCCAGCCACCCCAGAATTAGTGTCTGAGAAGATTGCTTTTATGAATTCTTCCCCCCCTTCCAAAAAAACTCTGTCCCTTCTCAATTCCTCTTTATTTTATTTGAGGATCCTTCTAATCCAGGGGTTCTCAACCAGGGGGTGTGTGAGATGATATTCCAGGAGGTACGAAAACTTGGGTTTAGAAGTTTCAAAATTATAGTGTATATGTATAATTATATGCATATCATATAATATAAGGGGTGCGAGAATATATCAGAAGCGTTCTAGGGGTGCAGGGTATAGAAAAGGTTGGGAACCCCTGTTCATTTTTTAAAATCTTTTTTTTTTCTTTTCTATTCTTCCCACAATAAAAGTTTGCCAGGATTAGTTTTGGTCACCACGATGTAAAAAAGATGTTGAGACTCTAGAAAGAGTGCAGACAAGAGCAACAAAGAAAATTAGGAGGCTGGAGGATAAAACATATGAAGAAGGGTTGCAGGAACTGGGTATGTCTAGTTTAATGAAAAGAAGGACTAGGGGAGACATGATAGCAGTGTTCCAATATCTCAGGGGCTGCCACAAAGAAGAGGGAGTCAAGCTATTCTCTAAAGCTGAGGGCAGGACAAGAAGCAATGGGTGGAAACTAATCAAGGAGAGAAGCAACCTAGAACTAAGGAGAAGTTTCCTGATAGTTAGAACAATTAACCAGTGGAACAACTTGCCTGCAGAAGTTGTGAATGCTCCAACACTGGAAGTTTTTAAGATGTTGGATAACCATTTGTCTGAAGTGGTGTAGGGTTTCCTGCCTAAGCAGGGGGTTGGACTAGAAGACCTCTAAGGTCCCTTTGAACTCTGTTATTCTGTTCTGTTCTGTTCTGTTCTGTTCTGTTCTGTTCTGTTCTATTCTATTCTATTCTATTCTATTCTATTCTATTCTATTCTATTCTATTCTATTCTATTCTATTCTAGTGCTGGTACTCACCTATAAAGCCCTTCATGGCATGGGCCCAGGGTATTTGCAGGATCACCTCCTACCGGCCTCCCACCACCCAGTGCGCTCACATAGGGCTGCCCTCCTCCGGGTCCCCTCGGCCAGACAGTGTCGCTGGTGGTCCCCAGGATGAGGGCGTTCTCTGTGGTTGCACCGACCCTCTGGAATGGGTTGCCCACCGGGCTCCCCGACCTCCGCACCTTCCGCGCCGACCTAAAGACATGGCTCTTTCAGCAACTTCCCTGATCTGCTGTGGATTTTAACTTGGGGATTTGGGGATTTTAATTGGCTTTTAATATTATTTAATTTTTATCTATCGTCGGGTTGTTTTATTGTTGTGAGCTGCCCCGAGTCCTACGGGAGAAGGGCGGCATATAAATCTGACAAAATAAATAATAAATATTCTATTCTATTCTATTCCACTTATGACTGTATGATTGTAATTTTGTTGCTTGTATCCTTACGATTTATATTGATAGTTTCCTGATTGCTTATTTGTACCCTATGACTCTCATTAAGTGTTGTACCTTATGATTCTTGATGAACGTATCTTTTCTTTTATGTACACTGAGAGCATATGCACCAAGGACAAATTCCTTGTGTGTCCAATCAAACTTGGCCAATAAAATTCTATTCTATTCTATTCTATTCTATTCTATTCTATTCTATTCTATTCTATTCTATTCTATTCTATTGTTTTGTTTTGTTTTGTTTTGTTTTGTTTTGTTCTGTTCTGTTCTGTTCACTGTTTCAGTTCCCTTGCCTATTTCAAGGCGACGCTGATTAGTGATCCTGGCAAGTTGGCTCCTTCGCTCAGCTAAGTGTCCCATTATCATTAAGAACGCGCATTTAAAAGGGAGTAAATAAAATGCCATTCATTCAGAGTATTATTTAGGAATGTTATGGGGGGGGTGAGGTGGGGAGGGACGGACAGAAATGCACATACAGTAAAATTAAAAGTCTGCTAAGACCCAACTAAGCCTGAGCAGCAGCCCTCCCACCTCAAAATGTTCTATATTCCGGGCTACCGCATTAGAAAGGTTACTCTCCTTTTCCCGTTTGTGCAAAATGTCCCATTGCGAGACCGGCCAAGCTTCCCCCCGCCGCCCCCCCCCCCCCGCACCAACAGCAGCCAGAGAACCTGAGCTGCTACCCAAAAGCCGCAGAGTTCCAAGTCCTATTTGCGACTTCCCCCTAAACCCTTATTGGTTAAATCGGGAAAGCCCTCCGCCAATGGGAAAGGGAGCCCCGGCATTCGGTGTTCTGCCCGAAGATGTGGAGCAGCTTCCCAGTCTAGCCTTCTCAGCGGGGGCGGCGGGAGGGCGGCTTTTTCCTGAGGGGAAGGTGCTTGCCTGCCCGCCCTTCTTTTCCTCTCCTGCGCCCGCCCGCCCAATTTTTCCCAGGGAAGGAAAGCAGAGCGAAGGGAGCAGCTGCCGCCTCGTCCTCCAGTCCTTTCTGGCTCCGGTGGTGCTGAGTGAGGAGGGTGCCGCCGGCTGCCTCTCTCTCTCCCCCGCTGGGGAACGGGGAGCCCCGGGCGGAGAGGAGCCACAGAAGGTCGCCGCCCAGAGGAGGCGCCCCCAATGGCTTCGGTGCGCCCCGGCAGGTAAGGGAGGTCTGGGAATGACTAGCAATGGGGAGGCGGTATTGATGCTTTTCTTTTTTTCCCCACGGAGGAGGCAGCTCATCTGCAAAAACTTCTTCCCGGAATAAAAAGTTCTTTTTTAAAATTATTATTTTTTCTTTCTTTCTATTCTTCCCGGAATAAAAGTTCATTTTTTTAAAATCTTTTTTTTTCTCTCTCTCTTTCTATTCTTCCCGGAATAAAAGTTAGCCAGCCTGTAGTTCAAGATTGTGCACAATTTTGGATGCCAAAATAACTGGTTGGTGGAGAGGGAGGTATATAGGAGTTATTATTATTAAGCAGTGCAATAATCTGCATTAAGCTTTTTTTTTTTTTTGTGGTCTGATTGAGAAATGGCTTTTTAAAGAAGAAAAATCTCCCCCACCCAAACAATGCATGTGTTGTTTAGGAGCTTGTAATTTCATTTTTTAAAAAAATATTAGCGCTGTTAACATCTGTCTTCCTAGTGTGGCCACTAGGATGGGTTTATTTTTTTTTTTGTGAGTCCTTGATGCCCTCTAGTGTTTTGTGAGATTCAGAATTGTTTCATTGGCGTGACAATCAAATAGAACTTGAATTATCCTGGATCTTATGAACATCTTTAAAAAAAAATAAATCTGAATTTCTAAACGTGGTTATGTCTTCACTTTTTTTAAAACTTTTGTTTGCAATTTACCTGGGATTTTTTTTTTTTTTGAAGGAAGAGATGAAGAACAGAAAATTAAATATTTTAGAAAACAAGTTGATATCCAAGCATTTTAGAATATATATATATATATATATATATATATATATATATATATATATATATATATATATATATATAAAAATGTAATACCGTGTTTCCCCGAAATATTACATTTTTTTGAACCCTGAAATAAATGCTTGGCCTTATTGCCTTGTGTTCAAAAGCCCGATTGGATTTATTATCAGGGGATGTCTTATTTTGGGGGGAAACAGGGTATAATGAACTTAATATGCAAAGATGAGGTGCGACCCTGTTTATATCCAACTGCCTTAGGCAAAAGGCAGCATGTGTATAGAAATCCTAACTAGAAATGTAGATGAAACAATGGCAGAGAATAAATTGTTTAGATTGCATCCATACTGCACACAATTCTTTGGATTAAGTATCGTTGGATTGAAAGGGGTGTACCTCTGATTAAATGTAAGGAACTGTATTATTAAATGTTTTAGTAACTTCATTTGAAAAAGAATGTAATGAGTAAGGTACCTTTCGTGATACTGTTAAAATCTGGATGTTATTCTGAATTTTGTTTATATATATATATTAATCCTGCCTTTATTATGTTTATAAATAACTCAGGGCAGCAAACATATCTAATTCTGTTTACTCTTCTTATTTTCCCCACAACACCCACCACCATGAGATGGGTTGGGTTGAGAGAGAGTGCCTGGCCCAAAGTCTCTCAATTGGCCTTCATGTCTAAGGCAGGACTAGAATTTACAGTCATTGGAATAAATTCATTACAAAGTCAATTGATGAAAAACAGCAATTTTAAAACAGATAGAAAGTACAATACAGCCTACCTAAATAGGGGAGTCTGAAGCTTCCAATCTGATTTTATTTTACTTTTTTAAAAAATAAATACTATCTTATTACTTTGAGGGAAAAATACACATGAACCTCACACTTTGTTCTGGATGTTAAGGCAAGTGAGGGAAGTGTCCCTAGCAATTCCATCCACAGTTGAATAAATTATTTCAGTCTAGCTGAAACAGTTTTCAACTTCACAGTTGCAATCCTGTTAGGCATGTTCCAGTTAGCTCAGTGGGATGTATGGGATTGCATTCTTGGTTCCTTGGATCTAAAAGGGATTCAGGCCACGTTTTGCTGGAGCAGCATTCAGATGTGTCAGACTGAAATATTTAACTTAATACTATGAAATATGTCATTTTTTTTTAACATCACTACAATTTTGGAATATTTAACAGAACAGAATATCAGAGTTGGAAGGGATCTTGAAGATCTTCTAGTCCAACCAGCTCAGATAGGAAACCCTATACCAGGGGTGTTAACGCACATCGTCACATCGTCATCATGTGACGTATCGCGACTTTTTTCTTCTTCGCTAAACCGGGCGTGGGCGTGGCCGTGTGACACGGCCCACGGGATGCAAGTTTGACAGCCCTGCCCTATATCATTTCAGACAAATGGTTGTCCAATCTCTTCTTAAAAACTTCCAGTGTTGTAGCACCCACAACTTCTGAAGGCAAGTCGTTCCATTACATTTATGTCAGGGAAGATGCAAAATATAGGGTTAAGTACTCTTCGTCTTAATTATTTATATTGTAGCTAACTCTAGACTGGTATGTAAGTGAACCAAAGAGCAACAAAACTGCAAATAGTCACAACATTTGGTGTTTAAATCAGGTTAAAACAATTTCACAAGGTGGTATTTGGAGAAATGTGTTATCCTCTATGGAAGACTGCTGTAAATATGTCACTGGTGAAGTAGATTTTCCTTAAAAGGAATGCTGCATAAACCTCAGGAATGGAGAATATAAAACATTTTGTGATTAGTGTAAGGTCTAAAAGAATAGGTCCATGGTTTGTGATTCATACCTGATGGATTCATATATGCTGGAAATTTATCAAGTATCAATATGGCCCTCTCAGATTCCTATCTTATTGGTTTTTTAAAAAAATGTAAATAAATACACACAATCTGTGATTGTAAGTGTTCCAAGCAAGTAAAATCCAAATATAGTTAAGTTAAAAAAATGTTAGAATGTGCCCTTCTTTAATCTTATACTACACAATATATTAAACATTTACTTTTTAATTGCATCAAATCAGAAAAGAGGAAAATCAGGCTGATGTTAAGATCACAGAAGCCTGATTATTTTCTGCCCAAGGATTATGTAGGAGTTTTATTTTTCCCATTAAAATCAGTGGGACTTAAACATTTTTTTTTGCTTATCATGTCTTAATGTTTATAGTGTATAGTTCCCTAGCAACAAATGGTGCTTATCCTATTAGTTTATATTGAATGTATTATTCCGTATAATTCATATATTAAGCCATACTGTATCAATTAGCTTCTCTATAACTACATTTAATTTGTAATAATAATTGCTGTTTATTTTAAGATATTTATTTTTAATGTCTTTTTAAGCTGATGCATTTTACTGCCAGACACGGTGTTAGTTTTCTTTAAAAATGCTATTCATACTCAGTGTTGGTTAGATGACTTTAATTTCTATTATAGAAAATATTGTGCAATTTGTCATGTTTAGTTGAAGCATAAGGAAAAGGACTGAAGTTTATTTATTTATTCAATTTTTATGGCTGTCCACTCACCACTCTATTCCAGGAAGCTAACAGTACTAAAAAAAAAATAATAAAACCTGAAAAATACTTCACTAATAAAATCCAACAAACAGCAGTGATGCATCTAATAGCTATATGCCAAGCACAATAACTCAAAAAAACACATATTGACACTTACTGGTGATTCACACAACATTCTACTCCAGTATCTAAGTGATGATCCAGATCCACGATGGTTTGGGGCTCTCTGGATATTGGAGAAAAGTTGTTCCATTGAGCTGTCATACCAAATGAAAAGTCACATTCCTGGATCCTGCATGCTGGTATTGTTTAATGGGTGAAATCTGGAGCATGCCATCAACTCCCCCCCCCTCATCTGATTGGACACGGGGGGGGGGAGGGGGTTTCTCTAAAAATCCTGATCCTGTATATTGTCCTGTATAGTGTTGACAATCTCTGAATTTTAAAATACTTCTATCTGTCACTGTCAATGGTAAATGTGATGGGAGAGAGAATAGAATAGAATAGAATGGAATGGAATGGAATGGAATAGAATAGAATAGAATAGAATAGAATAGAATAGAATAGAATAGAATAGAATAGAATAGAATAGAATAGAATTTTTATTGGCCAAGTGTGATTGGACACACAAGGAATTTGTCTTGGTGCATATGCTCTCAGTGTACATAAAAAGACAAGATACATTCATCAAGAATCATAAGGTACAATCGTAATATTCCTGATGTTGAAGATTTACTTTATTACATTTCTAAATATATTTTTATATTTTGTTCTAATGTTTTAATAATTACTTTAAATATATAAATATGAATTGTTTTTTCTATATTTTATTATATTGGGCAATAATAAATTTCAGGATTTAAATGATTAAATTAAATATTATGCCAAAAGATAACTTACATACTAAATAGTAAGTAATTGTATTTGGTTTGGAATAAAAAAGTACTGTTAATTACTTGCATCTAATGAAGATGAAGTTGTTTGATAGATTGCCATATAGAGTGCAGATCATGGGAATTGATCCATCCAGGAAAAATCAGGTTGGAGAAGACTGTATTTATGGAGCTTTTTTTGGAAGAAGATCATTTTAACTCAGTTCTCATTTCAAATTTAATTCCATTGTTAGATAGTAACAACGTATTAAGATTATTGTGATCAATTGGTTAAGAGTGAAAAAAAAATCACTTAACTCTTATTTTTCTTTTTCCAGAATATATTGACTCTGAATTGTACTGAAGACAGAGATACACAGGCTGCAATGGTGACATAAACTGCTAAAATTGAACTGGAATAAATTCTGAAACTCAATGCAGTCAAAACGGGAAAGCATCTTGGCTTGACTTACAACATGACTTTTATTGTGAAACTTCATAGACATTTTCAACGAACAGTAATATTACTAGCTACGTTTTGTATGGTGAGCATTGTTATTTCAGCATATTATTTATACAATGGCTACAAGCAAGAAAATGAAGCTTCTGAACTTTCTTCGGAGGTTGAATGTGGAGATCTTCCAGTGCTGCTATCTCCATGGAAGAAAATTAAGACCAGGGAACCACTAAGGACTGACCCTGTCGTGCTTGTATTTGTGGAAAGTCAGTACTCTGTACTTGGTCAAGATATAGTCATGATATTAGAATCCAGCAGGTTCCAATATCACATAGAGATTGCTTCTGGGAAAGGTGACCTTCCTGTACTGATAGATAAAAATAAAGGCAAGTATCTTCTAATAATATATGAAAATATTTCTAAATATGTGAATATGGATTCCTGGAATCGGGGCCTTCTAGATAAATACTGTGGGGAATTCAGTGTAGGGATGATTGGGTTTCAAAAAAGCAATGATAATACTTTGCAGACTTTTAAGTTAAAAGGTGTTCCTTTCCAGATTCATGGCAATGTAGGTATAAAAGACTGTTGCATCAATCCTCATTCTTCTTTGCTCCATCTAACAAAACCATCCAAGCTTGATAAAGGGCCTTTGCCTGGAAGTGACTGGACAGTTTTCCATATAAATCATTCAGCTTACCAACCTGTTGTATTTGCAAAAGTAAGAGTACCTGAAAACCTTCCTCCGGCTGCTATTAAAAATGTTCTACACGCAACAGTTATTCATGACTTGGGTCTTCATGATGGAATTCAGCGTGTTCTTTTTGGTAACAATTTGAACTTCTGGCTGCACAAACTCATCTTTATAGATGCTGTCTCATTTTTGACTGGAAAGAGACTTCCGTTGTCCCTGGATAGATACATACTTGTAGATATTGATGACATCTTTGTTGGAAAAGAGGAAACAAGAATGAAAGCCACTGATGTTCAGGTATGGTATGCCAGAAGGTCTCCTATGATACGGTGGTGATGTCCAAATATTTTTTTTTTTAATGCAAAACTCCTATAGTTAAATAAAGTTTTATTTACATAGAAAGTCAACTCCTTTGTGTTCAATATATTCATTTGAAATAAAATCAGTATTTTAATTAAGCCATTGTTTGTTTTTACAACGGTTAAATCTTTTAATTTAGTAGAGCTAAAGCCATAGCATTTTGGCTGGCGTTTGTGGGAACCTGGCTATTATTACAGGCTATTTTTTTTTAATTTTTAATTTTAATTTTTTTTAAAATTTGATTTATATGCCGCCCTTCTCCGGAGACTCAGGGCAGCTTACAGTGCGTTAAGCAGTAGCCTTCATACTTTTGTATATTTTATACAAAGTCAGCTTATTGCCCCCACAAACTGGGTCCTCAATTTACCTACTTTAGAAAGGATGGAAGGCTGAGTCAACCTTGAGCCTGGCAAGATTCGAACTTACTTTAATTGCAGACAGCTGGTGTTAAATTACAGTGCTTTTAGTCCGCAGAGCTATCCAGGCTCTGTTATATTCTTGCTGAATATAAATTATATTAGCTATTATATTAGCAAGAATGATTAATCTTGCTGTTATTTTTTTCTATTGGTGAGATGTTGTGATATTAATATCTGTATATTAAATTTTATGTTGTTATGATATACTGGATTTTTTAAAAACACTCTTATCATGTATAAAAGATAAAATTATAGAGCAGTAAATTCCATGGGTTGTTTTCCATTTTGTGTAGTTAAGAGTTCTAAACATATATGACTGCCAATAAAATGGGCTGGTGGATCATATTTGCATAATTTCTGCCCTCTCTAAGGTGGATGATACAATTTATAGCACACCATTGAAGAGAGGTTTGAAGTATGCCCAAGCTTTTTCAGTAACACAGATTTGATGATAATCACTCCTAATGTTTCTGAGATCTGTGAGTATAGCAACCAGGCTGAAGGCACCACATTTTATTTTCTTAAGCTGTAGATTACATGGCAAATGGAATACTTTAGAGCAGAGGAGGAAAATTTATTCTTTAAGTTTAATTAAACTATTAAGTTTAATTATTGGAAAAACAAAACTTTGTACATGACAAATTAACGGATTTATTTTAATCCCACCTTTATGATTTTTACAAATAGCTCAAGGTGGCAAACATATCCAGCATACCTTCCTCCTCTTATTTTCTCCATAACCCTGTGAGGTGAGGTGAGCTTTGAGTGACTGACCCAAGGTCAGACTTTCATGCCTAAAGTGGGACTAGAACTCTTAATCTCCTAGTTTCTAGTCTGGTGCCTTAACCACTAGACCAGGGGTCTGCAACCTTAGACACTCAAAGAGCCATTTGGACCCGTTTCCCACAGAAAAGAAAACACCAGGAGCCACAAAACCCTTCCCATGCCTGACTATTTCTTGAGCGGCCACAAAACTAGCATATGTAATTGAATTGAATGTTCTGTTTTCTTCTGAAACTTTTCTTTTCTTGGATTTATCCATGGTTGGCCTACTGGGGATTGAAAAACTCAACAAATTGTGTATCACACAATTGGCACTTGTGATGCATATTTTGAGTGACAGGGAGCCACAGAAGAGCGGTGAAAGGGCCACATGGGGCTCCAGAGCTGCAGGTTGCTGACCCCTGCACTAGACCGAACTGGCTCCAGAAGAGTATGTGCAAAATATTTTTTCATGAAAAGTTATAAATTAAACAAGATAAGGCATTGCAATACTCTTAAGTAAGGAGGACATATTTATTTCTTCATTACAGCAGATATTTTAAGTTATTTGCTACAAACATCCTGCATTTTCTGTTCTCAGTTCTGGTTCTTGCTTGCACTAAATTCAGATGTGGTCCTCAGAAAAGTTGCTTTCTATTTTTTGGGGTTTTTATTTGCTATGAAAAGCTTCCATATTCTGAAATTTATTAATATTCTGCAAAGGGCAAATTTACCTAAAAGAACCTATTGCTATAGACAAGTAGTCTTGGCTGGTAGAGTAATGGTTCAAACTACCTGGATAATACTAAGTTTGTAAGACTTTTTGAAAATCAGCAAATCTCTTAACTTTCCAAGAACTATTCTAGATGGCTCAGAAACTACAGTACATGGATTTTCTCTGTAATAATTATCCTCAATAAGCTAACAATTGGTTTAGCACAGCTTTTCAGCTTCCTCCTCTCCTTCCAATTCATGCAGACAGATGAAATATTAATATGCCGTATGTTGTGTTTCAGTTAAAATCTGGATTTATGTGAGTAGGTGTAACCTTTAAAGAAAGTTATTTTTCTGCACTTTAGTTCTCTTGTTTCATTAAGAAAAAAATCAATCATGAAACAGATGGCTAGGGAATAACCTATAAATCTTCAGTTTAATCTAAAATCAATCTGGGATTTATCACTTTAATTATTGGGTTTGATGCATCAGAAATTGAGAATAGAAGATTAAGGATATGAAATTAAAACATAACTCTTGATATTCCTTAGCTTAATTACTGAATTTTTAAAATTTGCAATTAGTAGTCAAAAGACCTGATTATGAAACAGTATAGCAGTCAATTACAAACTATAATTTGTGATAAATTTGAAATAGCATTTTAATGCTTAATATTTATTTAGTAGTTAATCTGGCCACCCAACTTGCAAAAAAAAAAAATTGTGACTGAATAGTATTCTTTTAATATTAATAGCAGTATTTGAAACTCTCATAGAAGTGTTTTCCACAAGGCACATTTTCATACAAATTACAGTATTTTTGCCTTTTTTAAAGTTCTTCAGTTTACAGATCCTTAGCCCTTCCAATCTATATTTTCTCATGTAGAATTAATACAAAGAGTAGAGATGATTCATCCAGCCCCTTTTTTACTCAATCTATATTATTAGAAAACATTTAGTTGCCCTTGGCTGCACTGTACCTTCAATATAATGCTCTACCTGCAGCATTATCAAATTTCTAGTTGAAATGGAAATCTTAGCATATATATAAAAGTACTCCATGAGTGCAGTACATTCCTTGTGTGGACTTGTTTTTCAATTATATTACCTGAGGGACTTGTGAGAAGACAGTGGCTGATAGCCATTTATACATTAAATTCTATGCAGAGCCATAGTGACTGAACAAGGCTCAGGTAGCTATAATTTTCATTCTTCAATATTCACTTTCAACTAGAAGTCCTTAATAAAGTAGATTAAAACCAGTGGAAAAATTTCCATTTTGCTACATGGCCTGATATGAAAAACATTTAAGGATCAGTGACTACCAGAACCTGAGTGTGCATTTAAACAATTCATATTGAAAGAAACATGGATAGAAAACTGGCTTCCAATTTTGAACATGACATGAGAAATAGCAGTTTCTTTTCTTTTATTAAAAATTAATTCAATTGTTTAAATGCAAGCCCAAATTCTGCCAGTGAAAGTTGCTGACTATTAAATGACAATTTATTTTATTCATAAAAAATAAATACAGAAATTTATTAAGGTATAACAATCTTAAAAATGCACATTGTATAAATTTTCATGATGTCACTCATTGACCGAAAAGAATGAAAATTGTTAATTAAAGCAAACTTTGATTACCTTTAAATTTATTTTATTTTATTATTTTTATTAGTCATATTTCTATGCTGCCCACTCTCCGAGGACTCTGGGCGGCTTACACCAAAGACAGTATACTAAATAGCATATTGCCCCCTAACAATCTGGGTCCTCATTTTATCCACCTCGGAAGGATGGAAGGCTGAGTCAACCTTGAGCCGGTGAGATTTGATCCACTGATCTGCTGAACTAGCAGTCAGCTGAAGTAGCTGCAGTACTGCACTCTAACCACTGCGCCACCTCGCCTTTTTTTTTAAATTAATTAAGATGGAATTGTGATTTTATATCTGAACAAACAACATGTTCCCCAGTTTATACAAAACAGAAAAATAAAATTGTTATAAAATAACAGATTTTATTTTTTCTTTCATGATGTAACTTCTTCCAACCAAGTGCCATGCATGGCGTTAAAAGTGCTCATCTGAATAGCATTGAGCTATGTTGGAATCAATCAATATACCATCATCTACACCAGGCCAATACCTATAGATTTGAATCTCAAACAATGCATAACCATAGTTAATTCCTTGGTTTATTATATAAATCGTAATGGCTTGGTTTCACACAATATGCGGAGGCCACTATGATGTGGTTCATATCGCAATCACTAAGCCAAAATCAAATAAACCACATTACTACTTTATAAACTAAATCATACTGTTTGTGACCTCATTTCCACTGCAAACTTAGTTAGAAAATAACCAATTCATTTAAAACTAGTATTGGAAACCAGAAAGGTATAAAAGCTGGGGACAGAATTTGACAAAAGTGTGCTGGCTTTCAAGAATTTTCAAAAAACCGAGTATGAAATTCTGACTTTAAGGTCATTTTTGAACATTACTGTAGAAAGAAGTTCAAGAACTCTTATTTTACACCATGGAATGTTGAAAAAGTAGAACAGGGAAAATATTTTTAAAGATAATGTGTTCTTTTAGAGATGTTAGCAATGTCAGGTGCAATTCATCTTTATTACTATGAACATGGAAGAAGTTGTCCTTGGTAGCACAATGGCACTGAGTAAGTGAAGCAATGTTGTGCAAATTATCTGGACTTTAAAGGAATATTTGTACACTATATGAATACTATATGAATTATTAGATACTGCATTTCGTTCTACCTGTATATCAGAAGTCGGACATGAAAATAGTCTGTAACGGGGAAGGCTGTGCATATTGAATCTCTTTTCATTTCTCCCTATACCGTGTTTCCCCGAAAATAAGACCCTGTCTTATATTTTTTGAACCCTGAAATAAGCGCTTGGCCTTATTGCCATGTGCTCAAAAGCCCGATTGGGCTTATTATCAGGGGATGTCTTATTTAGGGGAAAACAGGATAGGTCAGTTCATGAAAAATGAGTGACTGTTAATTATGATCTCTTAGT